GTCTCCCAGTAAAGCGTGTAGGAGCTTCACATCCGTGTAGGAGCTTCACATCGGATGAAAGGGGCGCCGGTAGCATAGATATACTCTAGTAGTCCGTCATAGACGGTGAAGATTTGGTCGGATGTACAGCATTGATGCTAGCTGTGTATGATTCTGTTAGAGGGGCATGGGAAGGGGCTCCTGCCGTATGAGTTCTTTAGGAGGGCTGTGCATCTGGTGGCTTCGGGTAAGGTTGATATGAAGTCCAGCGAATGCAAACATTACGCTGACAAAGCTCACGGAATTTGAGCCTGATGCTGGGATGGACCTTGTCGGGCGATGCAACAACGAGCAAAACCTCTCTAAAGATCTCCCTCAAGCTGCTTGCCGGCGAAGATCAAGCGCTGCTGGTCCAGAGCGGGCGGATCTCGAGTTTCGACTTCATTGATATTGGCGTCATATTTGGTAAATCGCTCAACACACTGGACGATCCGGACGAGTCTACCTCAGCGCCTCCAATACGGCAGGCGTTGCAGCGTCAAAAAAGCCCGGAGTCTCTACGATGTCTGAGAGCCGTTTGACGAAGATATCCGCAATGGAGGGTATCTTCTTCTTGTACTACACCACCTGATATACGCCTTCAACTCCCCCGCGTCAGCACCTGCCTGGTGCAACTTGAACTCCAAAAGGCGGAGGAAGCGAATGGACAAGAAGGTCGACGGAGATAAGAAAAAGGAACAGGAAGAACCCGAGAGTATACTAAGACGCGCCACAGAAAGCGGAGCGGCGCGAAGGGCCTCGGAAACTGCGGCACAACCCTCGGAGGAAGTCCCAGGTAATAGGTTCGAGTGGTTCGAAACCACACCCACAAGCTGTTTGTTCTGAAGGAGAGGAGAGCCTCTTGGGCTTGCGCAAAGCGTCCAAACCATTAATCGTTATTATCAAAGGGGGTAGTCTGGTCCGGTGCACGTCTCCTACTGACTTAATGGCGAGCGACGCTGACCCGCGAACCATCCAATACTCACGCAATGCTATTATGGCCCCACAGCATACCTATCTTAAGCTACTCCAAACTGCCTATTTCAGCAACCACGCAAAACCTATCGATTCCCTTGATTTAGAGGGTTTTCGCTAAGAATGTTTCTTTGTTCTCATGTAATGCGGGGGTTCCTTGTTTGAGAACGCGGCATAGTATCTCTAAGGTCTTCCAAACTGCCTATTCCAGTAACCATTCCAGACCCATCGATACCCTTGATTTAGAGGGTTTCCGCTAAGAAACGTTTCTTTGTTCTGATATACCGTAAAAGCTCGCAGATAATGGACGTACTGAAACTAACTTGGGCCAGTAAGAGGCTGTAAACCCCACTTTTATTGCTGCGTATTGTGATTGGATAGGTTCAGCTCTAAATCAGTACGTCCAGTATCTGCAAGGTTTTACGTTAATGCGGGTTCCTTGTTTAGGGACGTGGCGTAGTATCTCTAAGGTATCCAAACTGCCTATTCCAGCAACTACGCAAAACCTATCGATTCTCTTGATTTAGAGGGTTTTCGCTAAGAAACGTTTCTTTGTTCTCATAGATTGCGGGTTCTTTGTTTTTGGGGCGCGGCATAGTTGGTGGCTGGCGGATCGTGGGGCACAGGGGGGTGCGATAGGCTGGAGGAAAAAAACGCCCACCATCAACCTTGTGGCAATTTTCGCGTGCTTTTTTCATGCATAGTTGCCACCCAGATCGGTACTTGAGAAGGAAGGTGGTACGGTTCCGAACCCTGGCAGGCATCTCACGATCGCACTACCCCGCTGTACTTGCTTTTTGATGACTGCTTGCTGCGTGCATTTTATTGATCCTTAGACATGGGCCCCGTGCTGAGCGAGATAGTGATACGAATTCTGCGAGCGGGGTGCCCAACCTGGGTGTTGTTAGCTGGGGAAGAAGCAGAATTTGTGCCCGCCGTGTGGAGTTGGTGTTGAGATAGTTGGGGGAAGCTCATAAATCTTTTCGCAGGAGGCACCATAAAGTAAACCCTAACCGTCTAGTCACTACTCCGCTCATCGAGTCAACACAGTAGTTTTGGATTGAACAGTCTACCTTCATTTGCGACGGGCAAGGGCGAAAAGAAGCTTCTACGCAACAACGCTGTAAAATGATAACAGTATGAAATGTTCAGACACAGCAATCAAATTTAAGACTGCACCACCTCTAGTAAGGGCATGAGTATGTTTGCACAAACAACTCCCTATCTTAGGATGAGATTCTCAGGCATGTATGTTAGTTCCCCCCCGCCCCAGTGCCTCTCTTATTGGGCGTTGCTGAGATGAGCTTGAAGGTTGAGTGTATTGGTCCAGGTGTAGAATATTCTAGAAGGTCTATTGACATCATCTTAGATAGATGTTGTTTGATGAGTAAAACAGCTATGAAGGAGACGTGTAGCATAGATAATTAAAGAGGTTGCAGGCTTTGAACTGCTGTTCGAATCGTTTGGATCGGGTAAGGACTGGTGGAGGTGTAGCTCAGTGCAGCAATTGTCCACTATCATGGCAGCTCCTCATGAGGAGACACTCCAATCCCTCTCCGGGAAATGGACGCCAAATGTTGCCACACGCATCCAGTTTCTCACTCTAGGGCACCCGCACTCGCCTATAAAATTGAAGGAGCTGATCGTAAAGCGGCGCCTCCGGATCCACAACCACGCCTTCGCTCCTTGCTACCAAATCTAGAAGCTATACCGAAAGCCATTTCAAAGCTGATCACAGGATCTCGGTGCTGCTGCTGGAGCCGCACTCATAGGCGCTTATTGCTAGAAACAAGGAGGAGAAGACTTGGAAACCGATTGAAGAGGATGCACGTGTGGCGGGTGAGTTGTGTTGGAGCTCTGCCTGCAATGCATCTCGATCCTTCTTCGAACAGGATAGGGAGTATCCCTGGCCCCGGAGCTATCAGGACAGCTACTCATCCTATTTACTGCGTAAGTGTTTTGGATCGATCATACCGGGGAAAAACCAAGCTGACAGAAGCAGACACCGATGAGGCGAACCAGTTTCTGCGAAACGTCTTGAATAAGATGAACGTTGAGTGCTCGTCCCTAGTTTGCGCTTCCAGCATGAGACAGGTTCGTCCCGATGACGGCTAGTTCGGGATGTCGAGCGAGCAGACCTCGTTGTAGCCGTACTTGCAGCCGCTGGTCTGGTTGTTCTACAGAGCGGAGTAAATGACTCGCATCCGTCCTGGTCGCATGTCTCGAAGGCATGTGCCGTACGCCTAGCGGCAGGTATTGACGCCCAAGGGCCCGCACAATTTCCAGATCAGCATCGCGACCATGTTGAATATCTTTGTGGCACTGATTCGTTATCTTGGCTTGCGGATTTACTGTCTTCGGCGAAAAGTTAACGAGGTAGTAAGATGAATGATCCGAGCGGAGAATCTCATGTATGATGCTATCTGCGCGCTGAGTTGCGATTTTGGGGACTTTTGCTGTAGGAGCTGGATGCTCTCCTCGCTCAAGGGCGCAGCGCCAGAGGAAAAGCGGGTGACATGAGTGAAACCGAAACTGCGAGAACATCCTTACTTCCTGTGATGCTTGGCACGGTGTTGGAGGAGGCGCTGGTGTCGGAAAGACTGTGTCCATCCAGGATTTGATTATAAGATAGTACGAGTACGAGTACAATATACAAGTGGACTCCCGCCGTCCTTCTATCACGGGCTCTCTCTTCGCGCATGGCGGCGCATCTCGGTATCTCAGTGCGATGCCTCGGTCGCTCCGTCCAGCTCACAATTCTAATACTACACGTTCTCCCACACCGCTTACAATGACCATGGCCGCCGAAGAGAACAACCCACTTACCTATGTACTTGCACGGTTGTGGCATTTCTACGAGTCCACTGTACATGGCGGTCAAGAGTAGCTTGTTCACGTCCGGAGCTCCCGTAATCACCAATATTACCACGTTGGCTGAATAATACTGAACGTGCAGGTGTAATAAGAGAACCGCATAAACTATGTCATAGAGTTTTAGAAAGCTGACGTAATTGCCACCCGTGACCAGTAACCCAGACACCAACGAAAATGTCTTCCAAATCTGTAGTCATATCAGTTATCGGCTCTATCCATATGGCCATCGGTACTTCGTACAAGAGCCTCGATAAAGGCTTTTGCAGGGCCATTGGTCAAAGTCTCGGTCCAGACTACTTGTCGCTGATGATATCGGGCTACGTCGGTCTTTCGTGTGCGATTGTGATTTGATGGTGTTTTTCAGCAGTGTTCACTCTGGCACTTTCACGGCTGTATAGAATCTGTCATAGGTACTCATACTAGTTTTCGGTCGTCCCTTTCTCCCTGTCAAGAGGATTTAGATCTAGCCCAGATCACCTTCGGCCTCCCAGCGGCCAGGTCACGTGTCGCCTATATATCTCGTTCCAGGTCGCTCTGTGAGTCAAACCTCAAGGATTTGTCTCCATGTACACCTCACCCTGATCGTGATTACCTGCCCAATGTGCCTCGTATTCTAATCGTTATCAATTCCGGTCAACGAATCTTTCCACAGATTACAATATTCGCTAAGCGCTGTGCGTGTAACGTCGCACACATCTTCATGTCCAGTTGGATAACGAGCCTACTATTCCCGAAACATCCTAGCAGATAGCTTGTAGCTGCAGATCACTACGCGGAAACTCGAAACAATAGGTTGTACCACACGAACTGGTTCTGTTTTCATATTCAAAGAGCTCAACGAGATGAGACTTGGGCGATTTAGATATCTCATTGGTGAAGAACTGCCGTGCCAGTTCAAAATTTTCAGGAGACGGGAAAAGGATACTTGAACATGAAAATATCCAAACCTAGGTATGAAGCGTACATTTCGTTAGGACTTTGTTTATCAAAGCAGATGATACAGCAGTATAGCAGTTGGCCAATGTGAATAGAGAATCAGGGAGACAAGGGGAGTGTGATAACAGCGAGCGGTTGACCAGCGCTCGGAAAAGTGCGGTACAGTGACTACATGCGATCGATTCACAAGACGAGCGATGAACCACGAGCTGACGACCGAGCACATGGACATGATCGCCCAGTATGACGAGAATATGAGCGCCAGCATGACCAGGATTAATGACATTGTCGCGATGATCGAGGGGTTGCCGGCCGCCGTCGAGGGCGACTTCGGGGTGTACGCTAAGAAGACGAAGCCCGCGGTCCCCCCTCATGCGCAGGAACGACTTGACCAGCATGCACTAAACCGTTTACTAGTTGGTGCACAGGAAAACCACTACGGCGTGGGCGCGTACGGGGAAATGATCGTGATGGAGTCGGATGACCAGGGCGATGATCCTGAGGGTGATGAAGACGTTATCTTGCAGCCCCTACGCAGCTGATCGAAACTTCCTCCGTGCACGTAAAGAAGGCGTCGAGGCAGAAGACCAAGCAGAAGATGAAAACCGAGAAGGTCCTCGAGAAGGCGAAGTAGAAGAAGTAGAAGAAGTAGAAGACAAAGAAGAACGAGGAGAAGACGAAGTGGGAGGATTGGCTCTTCGTCGGGATCGAGAAGCTCGCCAAGGAGGTCGGCCTGGACGCCACGGAGACAACCTGTAAGATCTTCAACAGGGCAGTCAGCTTGATGGCGTACCAGGACGGAACCCCCGCGATAATGCGTAAAAAGATCTTAATAGGTTATCGGAATGCGATTGACGAATTGACAGAGTACGCGGGCTCAGGGAAGGACGTCATCGTGAGGCTCTTGTCCGCGCTCGACCCCAAGAAACTCGAGACGGACGACGCCACGTTCGAGCAGATGTGCATGGTGAATATCACCGCAGATCGCGAACGACCTCTAGGTGGGGGTTGAACCATCTCCGACGAGTCCAGCGATGAGACCACTGATGATACCGCCGACTCCAACTAGATCATGTGCACGATGGTGGTCGCGACAGGTTTTTGTATGCGTAGTCCTCGTTAACACCATCCACAAAACCCAACAGCAATGAGCTGCTGGATGATGATGATGATATTGATGCTGGTCGTCATGTTCGTCACGTAGAGGTGCTGATCAACGCCATAATGATGTGCAAGGCTCTGATATGTTGACTGAGTGTACAAAATCCCGCTGTATGTGCGGACGATTATGTAGATATGGAGCGTGGTATCGATAAGAAAGATTGTACGTTGTAGAAAACATATCGTCAAAGATGCTCTCGTTGTCCAGCAGCTGGGATTCGCGCTGTCCGTCTTTAGACAGGGAGTTGACAGCTGCAATGTACGCGAGAGTAGTGCTGACAGACGTGGCCGCTTTTTGCAGAGCCTCCTCAGGAGTGAAGACAGCAATCCTGGTGTCATCGGGGCGTGCAGTCATCGATGTGTCGCTGAAACTTTCCTCTGTCACGGTTCCGATCAAGAGCACAGCAGATATCGAATCTGCTCCTATAGAAGAATCTCGCGAAAGCAGGATAATAGACGATAACTTCTCCGAGGAGGAGGAAAACCTTACAGAAGCAGTGATGTTGTGTAGGGGTCCTGGGAAGCGAAGACAGTCGTCGGAAGATTTAGGTGTCGGCTCGCTAGTAGATGTGATGGCCTGAGCTCGTTCGAAATCTGGCTCTTCGGTCACTTTCTCTTCGCCCTCATCTTCGTTTCCGGGTAGTGACCGATCAATCTAGCTAAAGCTGAGTTATAAGGCCTAGGTTGGCTCTCCTGCTCTGGGAAAAAGCCATTCTCGCTGTGGGCTGGACTGTCTAGCTCTGTAGCGGCTTGATACTTGTCTGTTGCCGCTAAGGACGCGTGAAGGTACCAGCATCCTGGCCCATCTCAGCTTCCTCGGCTTCGGAAAATGCTGTGCCGAAGATCGCTTCCTCAAAGAGGCGGTGGACAATTCTTCATCCGCGTTAGGCTGGCTATCTTCTTCGACATCGTCGTGCTAAGGGCACTGTTTGTACAACTCTCCAGGGTGGGGAAATCCCGGGGAGCGAACATCATCACGGCGGTAGTCGAAATATAGGTACTTGCATGGCTCCCACATAGTCTCGTGCATTTTGTTGGCTGCATCGCTGACGTACGCAACTTCGTCCATCCTCAGCCTGTGATAGGATCCGAAGGTATAGAAGCGTGGTGGTCAGTATGGACGCAGACGACTCGCATATAAAGAGGATGAATCTAGACGTGCAAGTACACAAGAGCATCTAAGAAGAGATCGAGGAGTTCCGCAAGAACATGGTGAAGAACCTGGAGGAGCAGTACGGGGTCGTTGCTGGACTACGTAATGTAGTCCAAGGTGACCGCGGGACCTAGGAGCACGACACTCACCCCTCATCCCCGATGATGAGGGCGAGAGACGGCAGAACCATAAGGAGTTCGTCTACGGACAGATTCAGGAGCCCGCGAGGGCCGATTTGGGGTTTCATTGGCTCACCCCAGGTCCAGCAACAACGTCTTCAACAGCACATACCTGTTCCTGGATTTGCACAGCGGCACGTATCTCAGCCTGAACCTGCGCGTGCACCTATTGTGGCTGCGACCGGAATCAACCCGTTCCTCGTGTACCAGGGTCTGGACCTAGCCACCCCTGTGGAGTCGGATCTCACCGTTTAAAATGAAAAGAGCATATTTAAGAAGGCAGAAGAATCCGTGGCGGCGTGCACTAATGACATCTTGTCCGGGAACGCGCAGTTTATCGCGCGGCCGAGATCCGTCCTGCCCGAGGCCGAGATCGAGACCGCAAGCGGGTCCATGACCATGATTCAGGTTATCTTCATGCTCGTGGCGGAATATGCATGTGCGAAGTCGGGCTCGATGTCAAAGAATAGCTTGATAAAGACCTTGTTCGAGACCCTGGGTGACGAGGGGTACCCTGTGTTCAAGGAGCAGCTTGCCAGTTCAAGAGCACGGGCTCCGCCATAGAGATGTTCGAGGTGCTGCAGGACACGGTTACTGACTCGCATTCGTGAGACTGATTCTGCACGTACATCATACGTGGTCGTGTCTTGAAGAGCTCCAGGATCACATCATGGGCATCGAGGAACAAGTGACTGCCCTCACAGAAGATCTGGAACAGCTCCGCAACCGCCTCGTCACCGAAACTGAGGAGCATGACCAGTCCAAGGTCCTTCTCCAAGAGGAGCAGGACCGTGTCTACGCTCAAGAGGAGCAAGACCGTGTCTACGCTCAAGAGGAGCAAGAGGAGCAGGACCGTGTCTACGCTCAAGAGGAGCAAGAGGAGCAAGACCGTGTCTACGCTCAAGAAGAACCGGTCGAGAATCTGGAGGAGAAGATCAAGTGCGTGAGAACTTTGCTCTAGGATGGACGGAAGCTTGATGGGGCTCTTTCTGCAAGTTGTTGGAAACATCTTCCCAATCCTTGGGAGGCACCGGAGCGAGACGTCCGCATCGAAGTTCAGACTGAGTCCTCAGCTATTATATAACTCAAAAACAGTAACACAACATCGATAGCCTCATCGATGAAACGGATAGCGAGAGCCTGCAGCCGCAGGATCTGTGGATCTGATTGCAACCAGGCCGAAGACAAGAAAACGGTTGGTTGCGCTGGGGACTCCGCTGGACAACCTCAACCACTTCATTGGTGCATTTGCGTAAGTCAGCGCATATCTCCGGGAATCCGCTGCCCAACCTCAACAACAAATCTACCAGCCCAGATGGCGACTTCATCGGTGGATTTGCGTAAGTCACCGCATCTCTCCGACGATCAGACAAGAGACAAAACCCAGCTCTATTCGACAGCAGAAGAGCAGGTGAAGCCATGTTTTCGGCCGCGATTGCATCCAGCAGTTCGCAGACGCGCCTCATGGCGACCTATGCCCGATATGCAGTCGATCTTGAGCGACCTGGACGGAGCAATCAAGTACGTTGAAGACGGCGCAGATGTTCATCCCAACAGAGTAGACTTTGCGCGAGGCAAAGTCGACCCATCTAGCTCAACATCTGCACCAGCACCGTCCAATGCGAATCCCTTCTCTATTGCTGAGATGTCGACCAACCGGTCGCTCAGAAGGCTCTTATGCTTGAGCGCCTACCGCAGGGGGACAGTATCAGTGGACGCACATGCAAGCAATTTTGTCGGAAGTTCCTCAGCTACTTCATTGGCTGGTTGACAATGGTCGGGTGGAAAGCCGTTGTTGCACCCGGGGGATATCATGAATGCGAAGTCTTCGCGATCGCACTCTATCTTCGCGATCGCATTCTATCTTCGTCATTACGGCCTCGCAGAAGAATGTTAGCACTGGATCGATGAAAAGTGGCCAGCTCTTCCCGGTCGATCTTGCGGGTTCCGAAAAAGCAGGCAAGACTGGCGCAAGTGGACAGATAGTAGAAGAGGCGAATAATGTGTAAGTGCTCTTAGTATGGTCGTTAATTCAGTAACTTACACAATCTAGTTGAATGGCGAGTCGCACTTCCAAAACGACCTCGGCTTGGGCTGTCTCAACCAGAATCTAACGGACTCAAAATACCTAATAATGGTGGAAGAAGGGCGCTGTGCTTCTGCTTAGCTTATGTGATAGTTACACTTACTTCGACCATTGGGATGCTCGTTTGGCTTTGTCTATGATTTTTCTATGATCGGTCTATGAATGAAATAAAAACAACGCGTAGAAACAACGCGTAAAAACAACGTACTTCCGGTAGTGACTGTTTCTCGCTATGTCATGCTAGTCTCCCGCCCCTCACGGACCTTTCCGCGAACCTTTTCCTATCCGCCCTGTACACTCTGCTAATATACGTCAGTCCAAATGACTCCAAGTAGAGCAAAACATGTAAAAACTTACTTCCGCTATCTCATGGTTCTCAAACGTCGTACTCCGATTCCAAGGCTTGGATATAGGCTTCACGGCATCTGAGTCTTCGCTCAAGCCTTCCGATCGTCGCGATGAGCTCAGCCTTCTGCGTGGTGGTTTGTTAGCTTGGTTGATGTCGGGCACATGAAAGCATGTAGACTTACAGATAAGTGGCTGGTAGCTGCAGGTTGCGGACGGTTTGCGACCATGGAGGCTGGAACCACAAGGCTAGCTGTCGGAGTCATTGCTGGCTGCGTGAAGGTACGTTAGCTTGACTGACGATGGGTACGAATGGCGATTAGCACTTACAATCGGTTGCTTGCCAGCTTTGATGGAAGAGGCTGTGTTGGGCAACGCAGTACCTTCCTTGCTCCTGATGGACTGAGGTCCTCGGACGGCGGCAGCATCTATGGAACTGGCTCCTAGAGACAAATAGGGAGGCAAACGAAAACGAGGACGCGCCTGAGAAGCCAAAGTTGGCTCATCACGGCGACCCGCAGTGGGCGAGGTGGGAGATGTGGAAGCAGGAAGGGAGTTTGGTAGCCCATGTGTTGTCTGCCTAGTAGAGGAAGGACCTGCGGCAGCCAAGAAGGATGCTGCTGGTGGGGGAGAGGGTGACGGTGAAGTTGTCTGGTGGCTTAGTGAGGAGGGAGAGGCCAGTCCTCCAGTGATGGACGGAGAGTACCAAAAGGGGGTTGGTGGCCTAGCTCTTGTCTGCCTATTAGAGGAAGGACCTGCGGTAGTCAAGGAGGATGCTGCTAGTGGGGGAGAGGGTGACAGTGCAGTTGTCTGGTGGGTTGGTGAGGAGGCCGGTCCTCCAGGGCTATATGGAGAGTACCGAGAGGGCTTCGTGTCAGTCATCTCAGCTGGAGAGGAAGGGGCAGGGTAAATAGGACCCGCCTGTCCTCCATAAGAAGGGTATTGCAAGGGCTGGTATGGGTGCCTCCCTGATCCTGGACGGTATACCTCTGGCGACGCCGGTGTCGGTTGGAAGGCGGGGCCAAACTGACATCCTTGGTGAGCTTGGCCGTGTGAACATCGAGGTAGGTGCGAGCACAGGCAAGAAGGTGGACAGCCGCGGAGTGGAAGCATCTTGCACTCAGGGCATCTGTCGGACGATGTACCAAGGAGCCCGGAATGAAACTCTAGGGCTGTCCGCTTTCGACCAGGTTCAGGCATCTCGGGGCTGGATAGCCCGTGCTTGGACATCGTGGTGAAAGGCACCAAGAGCGGCTTGGGTTTACTGGTGCTGCAAAGATTCAACCCACTTAGTACAAGTTAGTAACGGTATTGAGTGGGACTCACTTGTGAAGGGCTTGGTATCCAATACAGGTTGTTGAGTCTCGGATCTCGGGACGAAGTCTGTGTGAGGAATGTCTTCGTACTGACTTCCGTTAAAGGTAAGACCAACACAGACGCGCTTTTATACCTGCTAGACCTAGGCAAAAGGTCAAACAAGACTACTTCTTTGACAATGGACCAACTACCCGTAGAGACACTATCGCACACCTTCATCAGCATTGATTTATCGCGCACAGGCACGTCTGCGACTACCCGCGCTCGGAAGCGTCCACAAACACGTCCAGGTTTAAGCGTTGGTTTGGGCGGCTTCGGACGCTCTGCCGCTACTAAAGTAAGTGGCACTTAGTTCAAGCATGTCTTGCATTAGTTAATATGATCCAAGATCCACCTGGGCACCTGCATAGTCAACAACACGTGATGAAATGCCGAAAGAGAACACCGAGAGCACGGGCGATGACCGAAGCTCTCCGACGGCGCGCACGTTGGCGGCCCGGAACCGTGTTCATCATACGAATGTGGCGCAAGCCACTCGTGCTGTACCTCCCCATAGAGCCCGACGCATCGGGCTGCGGTGGGACACATCCGTAGCGTGCCTCTTCCGGGCTCGGCGCTGCTGGAAGCCTTCATCTACATGCCTCCCCGCATTCGTTGTTTGTGGCAAGACGCGTTCAGTCGCGGGTGCAAAGGTGTCACTCTGAGTTCAAGCATCCGCAATGAGTATCGATGAAGTCGCCGATATGGCGCTGAGACCGTTTCGCAGCGCAGCCGCCAATCTGGGCTTGTTCGAAGACTGATGGCACGTCAAAAAACGAGATAGGCGGTGAGAGGCGGTGAGAATAAGAGGCGGGATAATGCAGGGTAGCCGATTGGCGGGCAAACATGCTCGGAAGCGAGCTCATGGAGGGGTCGCATATGCGCATAATTGTGGAAATATGATGGCAACTGAGGTCAATTTCGCGATTGAGAGCAACAACAGTACTTGTTTCGACTTTTAACGGCAATCTGGAGCGTTTCCAAGGCGGTTATCGGACAGGTGGGCGAGGATCGTGAGGGAGAAGCTGGAGAAGTTGACGGCTCGCTTAGAGTCTTGGTGGTTGTACGGTACCTGTCACGTGTCTGTGTGTGGAACTACCCCTCACCGGTGCGAGTGTGTTAGCACCCCCACACCCTGGCTAAGCATCATCTCCACGCGCGAGAACAAATGCGCATGCAGCGAGAACAAACGCGCATACACCTATTGCCGCAGAAGTGACCGGGAGGCGCGGAGCGGCGGCTCGGCATACGCTACGCGGATGGGTAGGAAAAGTAAAGCGTGCAATAACTAATTTGGGGTTAGGGCCAACTTCAGGTGCGGCCACGCGCTCGGAACGCGGTATCACGTGCACGGCCTCAGTGTCGATTTCAGCTCTGTTCTGCCCCAACGTCTGTACTACCCCCAGCCGTTCATTCTACCAGAGCGCGTCAACTGTATCTCGTTAATTCCCTAGACATTCTAAATCTGCCATCTGCCACAGGAGAGACGTCTCAGCTTCGATCTACCGGACGACTATGAATCATCTGCCAACGTTTACCTTCGTGCTCAAGTCCCACCGCCATATTTGGATCTACCAATTCGGATGCGAACACCGCCACACACGAAACAATACACAAATCATGCCGAATAAGTTGTTGGGTAGCTATCCGCGCCGCAAACATCCATTTCGCTATCCGTAATCACCCACCTCCTGAAGAAAAGCAACCTGCAACGAATCCTCCCATGCTAGTCGAATTCGGCAGCGCCATCTGGACTCAGACTCAACGCCGCTGCCCAACATCGCCTTATCCTTCTTCACATCATGGTATAGTCTGGGTACCAGCATAACGGATACTGGTATCAATGAAGGGATGTAAAAATACGGGTTGACGATCATTGAGCGCGTCCGCAGGTCCTGTTGCCGCAGCTTGCCGGCTGTTGCTCTCTGTGCTTGGCCGAGGAACAAACATGACCGGACGGTGGGTCATAGGATCCGGAGCTCAGCAGGATGATGAGTATGTATTCGATGTATGAGGTATGGTCCTAGGTGCTAGGCCGCCGGCATGGAGGATAGGCTAGGCACATGCCATCCCCTCGCTCCTGCCCGCTCCTGCCACAGTGGGGGGCCATTAGACTTGGGCTAGCGCTGAGCTCCACGTTAGAAAGCGCTTCTTGAACTCAGCACGGAAGTCAGCTGCAAGCTGGCAAACAAAATTGAATGCCTCCGTGCGCATCGGTTTTGGAAGGCGCGTTTGCGCGGCAGCTTGATCTGCGAGCGTGCGCAGGCCAGGAGAAACGAATATTGGGAGGAAGGAGAAGATATCGCCGACCTCAGGGACCCCTGTCTGTCCGCAGTCCAAGTAGAATGTGAACTCATCCCCAATGCAGACAGCATGCTGTCAATCTTGTCTGCTGCGAATTTCCCAAATCACCGCTCCGCCTTGCCGTCTCGGTCAAGCAGCTCCCGGTCAGCTATGACCGGATAGCAAAACACTAACGGCGGCAGCAAGATCGCCGAAAGGTATGCGGAAGTAGACATAAATGGCTCATGAAACCCTGCATGTAGACCGCACCACCTGATCGTAGTCGTATCGCTAGCACACGCTGTCGTTGGAGAAATGCTGTGGGAAGGCGGTCAGGAAGAGCTCGTAAAAGACGCAACCATTTTCGGTATTGAGGGTAATTCCTGGTGTAGATAAAGTAGTTACGTGACTAGGAACCACGCGGCTCCGCAGAATAGCACGATAACCACGAGGCCAATGAGGGGCGCCCATTTGTATGTTTTGACTTCATGATCGCCAATCTCCACATGAGATTTTACATCCTAGTGTAGCTCACGGTACGGCATCATAGCGAGCCTGCTTGTATCTCTCGGTGGTGATGTGTTTCGGTCCTGACACAATGTTGGGTGGGGAAGTTGGTTAACAGTGGAAGAAGGGAACAGCCAAGGGTTGCGTGTGTGTGAAAGTGTGTTGCGGATAGTTCAATGCGATGACCATCATCATTCGACCGACTCAGAGACTCACCACTACTCGTTATCGAAAAACCGGATGCATTCTCATACACTCGCATCTTGTGGCGTGGACGCATGCTTCTTTGTCGGCTCGACTGGGACAAAAAGCTCAAGGGGACGGTTGGCGACTCTTCTGAGACCACCCTTCTGCAGGCTCTCGGCGACGTCGAGGTAGACTTTGATAATTATATCTAATATATTGGGGAATACTTCCAACGGCGCTGCGAGTAGTGCAGCTGGCCGGTGTGCTCACTCTTAGAACTTTTAACATACTTGGCCACATTCAGCTAAAAGACGCTGGCCGGGCAATGGGCAGCCTGGTGAGCCTCATAATCATCCTGATACCCTGCGGTAGTACTCTGATGACACGAGGAGCAACACGATGCCGGGAATGCGCAAACTCTTGCCTGTGTGATATCGTATACTACAACGACACAGTTAGACTAGAAGCAGCGTGTCAGTGGCAGGCAAAGGACGCGCTGGCACCCAAACACTCGCATAGATGTTAGACTCTTTGGTCCGTATTACAAACATCCATCAGCTTCGGCAGTGACGAACATATGTCGAAATCTCATTTCCACGCTCCTCCCGTGCATTGAGCGCGAAGGTGCACAGAAAGATTTGGGGGCTGAGACTGCAGTGGTTCGTTCGCCTATGAGAGCAACCCCCTGGAAACGCTCTAGAACAATTCAACGAGATCATTGTTCTCTGGGAGCAGAGACTCAGGTATTCATGGATCTCTTCAAGTGGCTGGTGAACTCTCACTCGAGGACAAATTTCAGTCGACAAATACCAAACACTGCACATCCAAGAGAATACGTTAGACCGACAATTTCTCAGAGGAGGGATGTAAGAGAACCGGATGGCGAAGGTTGACTTGGCGAGACGATCGACAATGTTGCGCAGCGCCAGAAGAAGCCCTACCTACCTACTGACCTACTTGTATGTTTTCCACCACCTCCCCGCACGGAATGCGCTGAAAAGCTTAGGTACGCTGGGGATCTATTTCAACGATGGCCATAAAGATTTCCAGCGCCATTGCGCGACTACGGGTGCGTGTTTATGGTGTTAGAGTTGGTAGACGAGGTACCATGCTCGCGAACCCAACCCTTCTCCCCGTCCCTCCGCCTCCCACTAACCCTCGAGCTCACAGTAGCAGCTGAGGTCCAACGTGGAAGGCGGCCTGATGTTCCTGCGCTGGCGGAAGTTGGTATAACCACTAAAGATTAGTCTTACAATTTCCTTGTGTCGCAGGTCGGGAGTATTGGTACTGGGATTGAGCCGGTGGCCACCCATCCCGTCGTGGTAAAGAGAACATCGGTGGACATACAATGGTAGCTTAGAGTGAAGTATTTAGAGAAGGATAAACATGCTAAAGGTTTCGTTGGTGCTGAATTTCAGTGAAGAGGAGGAACATCGGTCGACATACCAATGCGGCCCTGGAGTGAGAGGATCGGACCGGTCTAATTGGTGGCATACTGGGTGTAAAAAACTGCTAAGAACATCGGTGGAAATACCTGAAAACACAGCCACCGAGCTTCGGCCAACATGTCCGCACCGG